TAGTTTCATATTCGTCAAATAATACACTAATTCCTTAAAAGAATCGAGATTAAACATATTTAATTTTTTGTAAATAACAAAAAGTGTTTAGATATGTAGACAAAAATAACAGTATTTAGATATGTAGACAAATAGGAGAATATATTAGTATTGAGAATTTTTCGATAACTTTAGTTGATATAGATGAAAAAAGTGAAAACTTCGATCATAGTAGATTTTGCTTAATAATACTTTTCCATAAAAATTTACAAAAAATATATTAAAATAGTATATACAGGGTGTTCGAAAATCATCGTGACGCCTGTCATGAGCAGGTAGAACAGACCGAACTGAATCGAAAATTCTTATACCATCTTGTAGTTTGCGCAATAGTTAACGAGATACTAACGTTTTAAGATAGCCGAATGAGCGCGTCGAATAGGCCGGCCTACTGCTGCTGAATATACAACCTACCGTTCCCACCGATCGCACGGCGCGCGGACCGCTGGGAGTGGGGATGGTCTGTTAGGAGTGCCGTTCGAATCAAGACGTTTAGTGGTAATTCCCACTCCCAGCGGCCAGCGCGCTGTGCAATCGGTGGGGACGGTAAGTTGTATATTCGACAGCAGAGTAGGCCGGTTGAACGCGCTTATTCGGTTATCTTTAAACGTTAATATCTCGTTACCTATTGCGCAAACTACAAAATGGTATAAGAATTTTCGATTCAGTTCGGTCCGTCTTCTATCTGCTCGTGACAGGCGTCACGATAATTTTCAAACATCCTGTATATACTATTTTAATATATTTTTTTGTAAATTTTTATGGAAAAGTATTATTAAGCAAAATCTACTATGATCGAAGTTTTCACTTTTTTCATCTATATCAATTAAAGTTATCGAAAAATACTCAATACTAATATATTCTCCCATTTGTCTACATATCTAAATACTGTTATTTTTGTCTACGTATTTAAACACTTTTTGTTATTTACAAAAAATTAAATATGTTTAATCTCGATTCTTTTAAGGAATTAGTGTATTATTTGACGTATATGAAACTATAATACAATTAAAGGACATACCCAGGGAATTCATAAGTGACAATGAAAAGTATAAATTAATAGGTTTGATTGATTATGAAGGACCCAATAATCAAACAAGATTGCGTAATACAAGCATTGGTCACTTTACGGCAATAATATTTCGTTTCGGACACTGGATTCGACACAACGATATGAAACCGCATGTCACAGCGGTACAAGAAACACATAATGTGCAACCTCAATTACTGCTGTATACAAAATCTGGAGACACTGGTAGTGTCTCGGCGCTAAGCTGCGCGAAGGCACTGCCGTGCCTCCTTTACGCGAACCGACAAGTTGCGACTGATCGAGATTATCGGATCTCAATAACGGCTG